CCCTGGGCATCCCTGCTCAGCTGCCACTCCTCACAAACATTGCCTCGATCAGCTCAACTGTACAGATCGGCAGATAACGACCAGGGAACTGTGTGCATGTCTTAATATCGGCTGTAATGCATTGGAAACGATGTTGGGGAAGCTGGATTATCGCAAAGTTTGTTCCAGGTGGGTCCCAAGGATGCTTACACAGGACCACAAAACTCATCGAATGGAAGTCTGTTAGGACCTGTTGCACCAGTTTGAGGCTGAAGGTGACAAGTTTCTGGACAGCATCATCAACGGAGATGAGATGTGGTGTCACCACTACGAGCCGGAATCCAAAAGACAATCCATGGAGTGGCGACATCCAGATTCCCCAAGAAAAAAGAAGTTCAAGACACAGCCATCAGCAGGGAAAATGATGTGCACAGTCATTTGGGATAGGCGGGGTGTGATTTTGTTGGATTTCCTGGAGCCTGGTGGGACTGTCAATTCTGAACACTACAAGACAACGCTAACTAAGCTGAAAGCCTGCATTCACCGAGCCAGGCCAGAGAAGCTGACAACCTTTTGCTTGCAACACGATAACACTAGACCCCATACCACTTTGGCAACCACTGCACACATTGTAAAGTCTGGCTGGACGGTCCTACCACATCCACCTTATAGCCCTGAATTAGCGCCTTCAGACTTCCATCTCTTTGAGCCTATGAAAGATGGACTGTGTGGGCAACACTTTCCAGACAATGATGCTGTCATTGCAGCTGTAAGAAAGTGGCTAGCCTCTGCTGGCGCAGACTTTTATGGGCATGGCATAGAGGCTCTTGTTCATCACTGGCAAAAGTGCATAACGAATGGTGGTGATTACATGGAAAAATAACTGTGAGTAGCTGAAATCTTGCTCTATTTATCTGCGTTATTATGCTTTATATATCTGTCGTAGTTTTCATTAAAAAATAGAAGGCATTATAAATGGAATGCTCCTCATACATCATAATAAAATTATAAATTATGATGCTAACCTGAATCTGCTGTCTGTTTCCGGCTGTAATATTAGATATTGTCCAGCAAGCTTCTTTTCTAATAGATTCCTTGGGTGAAGCTAAGAGATGCAGCAGACAAGGCAGTGCTGAACAATTGAGAATAACCTGAGTCTGCACATCATCTCCAGTTACTATGTTGCCCACAGCCCTCAGAGCTGCTGATACAACATTTGGTTGGTTGTGCCTGTAAAACAACATTTGGATTTCTGGTTAAAATAAAATATGTAATACTTCCTCCTTCCAAGTGGATTACAGTGCTGCATATTCTAGGTACAGATAAAGCTGTTCCTGTGCTGAAGCACCAAGTCCATGAAGATATAGAGGGGAGCACAAATAAAAGCTTCATACATTTTTCAAACTACAGCCAGTTCACCTATGTCAAAAGAATCTTCAGTAGTCACTGGAACTGGTAAAGGTAAACTATCCCTGTCACAGGCCATGGAGGTCCATAGGGTTGTGAGACATCGAGACTCCTGCATTTTTTAGACAAGAGGCTCACAGATGACCACGGGGTTGTCAGCCTTACGCTCCAGCCGGCCGTTCTTTACTCCCAGGAAGATTCCTGGTACTTATTTCTGTTAGAGGCTCATTCAACCCCAGGCCCATAGTGCAGCTGGAAGGATTAGTCAATTGAATAATCCAGTGACCTAATCAGGAATCAAACCTGCAATCTCATGGCTTGTAACATAGAGCATCAACCAACTATGTTAGTGTGTGCACCCATTCTAAACTGGTAATTACTATTATTCTTTACTGGAAACATCAATAAAGAAAACACAGTTAGAGAAAACAAGAGTTCTGGGAAGAAAATTAATACCTAACAGATATAAATGTTATAAGAATTATATACAAGACATGCTGAAATTAAAAACAGAAAAATGTATATTGCAATATCATATAAACAAAGGATACAAGAATCTATAATATTTGGGGCAAAATGTAGTAACAAATATGACACACTATACATATCTGGGAATCTAACAAGTTTTATAATGCTGCAAACAGGGCTACAACAGTATGGACTGAAAACAGGTTTGAACACAGACAGAAAGGCAGTCAGTCTATGGAGTTCAATTGGATTTCAAGGACAACAGAAGACAATGGAAAATTAGCTGACTAAATGTATATAAAATTAAATAAAGAATCTGAATTAATAACAATGCAAGATATATAAATGGACTATCTCATGCTTTCAAATTACAGAAGCATGGTCCCTACAGTTTTTCTTCCCCTCCTAATGAAAAAAATTGCTTAAATCATTAAAGTTAATAAAAGTACTTACATGAGAAGTTCAACCAATCGCCTACAAACCCCTGCATCAATGACAGCTTGAATCTTATCGTTTGGTCCATCAGACAGGTATGAAAGTGCCCAGCATGCATCAGCCAAGACATCAGCATCTGCATGGAACAGCAGGCGAGAGAGAACAGGCAAGCATGGACATACTTTTGGAAACTCGGGTGGTGGATTCTTCCCACGACACAGATTCGACAAAGCCCATACAGCATTTCGAGTCATAGAAAGGCGAGTGGCCTTACTCAGAAGTCTGAAAATGATACACATGAAGTGACAGTTTACATAACA